TAAGTCATAGACCACATAAGTTCGCCCCCCCAACCAAAATCTGAAATGACCCCCTGCTAATATTTCAATTAACGTTTCTTTAATAAACAATTATATTAAAAACAAACAAAGAGGTTTTTTATTTTAAACAGGTTATGAGCCCAGAACGCTTAATAAATTGTTTAGAGAAAAAATTATTTTGAAAAAAAAAGAAAGAGATTGCAATTCGTGACTAAAAGAACTTTTCCAACTATCGTTGAAGCAAGAACATCAATTTTTGTTTTCCTTCAAAATGGACTCAAAGCTTCAAATAAAACAGTTAAGTTGCGCAGCCGATTGGCCCATTTGGAAACGTCGTGTTCGAGATGTCATGGATTACCATGAGGGCGCACTTGATGTGATTGATGGAAACTTGTCGAAACCAGAATTACTAGAAAATCAAACAGAGCAACAGACAAAAGATTTTAAAAATAAATCAGATCTGTTTAGAAAGGCAAAGAGTTATGCCAAATCAGTAATTGCGAATGCAGTCACAAAAGATACATACCAAAAGATAATGGACAAGAACTCAGCGTTTGAAGTTTGGGAGGAATTAAAAAAAAATTTTGAAGCGTCAACTAAAGACCAACTGTTCCAAGTTTGTAGCAATTTTTTCGATTTCAATTGGATCCGGCCAAATTGCAAGATTGAAGACTTTATGGAACGAATTAAACAGTGGGCTTCAGGCATTGGGAGAAAATAAACTACCAGAGCTGCTATTAGTATGCAAAGCGATGCAGATTCTCCCAAATAGTTTCCAAAACTTCAAATCAAGTTGGCTAATGCTAGGTGAAGAAAAGCAGTCGATAGATGATTTAATCACTCATCTCTGTGCTTTCGAAAGAGAGATAAAGACTTTCGGCACAATCGATAAATCATCAAGGCAGAACGCCTTAGTTGTAAATGTTGAAAAGCCAAGTTTCAACAAATCAAGAGATTTCACTAAAAGGACAAAACCAGTTGGTAACTGCAACTATTGCCATAAACATGGACACTGGGTTAAGCAATGTAGAAAGTGGGTCAGTGATGGAAGACCTTCTAAAAATTCCAAAAATGTTTCAGCGACACCAAGAAAAGCATATGATGAAACATCAAATGTAGTTTTGTGCACGTCAGCCAGTAATCAAACACTGAGAGACAACACTAAGTGGTGTATTGACAATGGAGCAACAAAGCACCTAACGAACAATCCAGATAATTTAGTTACTTTTGAGAAGTTTGTCGCACCATGTTCTGTTCAAGCTACAGGAAAAGAAGTTTTTGCTGCTGTGGGTAGAGGCGAAATAAATATGCTGTCAACAGTAAATAACAAACAACAGTATATAAGACTCTCAGATGTCTGGTATGTTCCAAATATAGGTAGAAACCTGTTTTCCATATCAGCCGCACAAGATAAAAATTCAAAAAACAGCAAGTTTGAATCTTATGCAACCAAATGTCAACTCAGTATAAAGAACCGAGTGGTAGTACAAGAGACAAGACGAGTAGATGGTTCCTTGTATGAGGCAAAACTTGATTTCATTAACTCCAGATACACCGGCTGAAGTGAATATAGTCAGTGAAAATTCAATAGTGCAGCTCTACCATGAACGTTTTGGTCATCAAGATAAACGTCACATAAAGAATGTTATAGAAAAGGAGTTAAACATTAAAGTTCATCTTGACAAAGATTTGTTTGAACTATGTCTCTATGGTAAAGCACATCGGTTAAAATTTGGCAAGAAAAATGCAACCAATAAACCAGGTGAACTACTATCAGCAGATGTTTGTGGTCCTTTCAGTACAGAATCATTTAATAGTAAACGATATTTTGTTGTTTTCAAAGATCATTACAGCAAAATGAGGTTCATTTCTTTTTTTAGACACAAAAATGAAGTGAAACAGGCACTACAAAATATTTTGTCTCAAGCAGCGACTCAAGGTCATAAAGTAAAAGAATTTTTGAGTGACAATGGGGATGAGTTTGACAACGAAGAAGTTCGAAACATCCTGCGCAGCCATGGAATCACGCAAAGACTAACAGCACCATATACACCTAAACAAAATGGTGGTAGTGAACGTGAAAACAGAACAATAGTAGAAATGGCACGCACATTGAAGTACTCAAATCTAGATTTTGAATTTCCAGTCGCTATGTGGGCTGAGCTATGTTCAACTGCAGTATATTTACTTAATCGAACAGGCAAGTCGTCGATTGAAGATAAAAGCCCATTTAAAATTTGGACAGGTAAAAAGCCAAGAATTAACCATTTGAGAATAATTGGCTCAACATGTTTTGTTCACATACCTGATCAAAAACGTCAAAAAATGGATAAGAAAGCCATAAAAAGTTACCTTGTTGGTTACGATGGTGACGAACGCTATCGTATATGGCTCAAAAATCAATATAAAATGATATTCTCAAGAGATGTAGTTTTTCAAGAAAAACCTATGAAATGTACAACATCATTTGAACATCAGACTCAAAAAGATTTTACAACAGATCCTCAAATCAATTGCAAATCAGAAAATGATTCGAGTAGTAGAAATGATGATTCAAAAGAAGAAATTACAGATGACACTGAGAAGATTATAGATAATTCAATTAAAGTTCAACTCAGATAGGTCAAGCTTGCAGAAACCTAAGAAGTTAGATGATTATGTGATGCAGGCTGAGACATATTAGATGTACATGAACCAGATACATACGAAGAAGCCATTCAAAGCAGAGTCAGACTGAAACTCCTGTGTGGACATATGGGACTAATGTCATAAAATGTTTTGAAACAAGGGAAAGTATTGAAATAATATATATGTATATTATATATGTTTCAATATATTTATGACTTTCCATAGTTTCAGACAATTATATATTATTGCTAACTTGACTAACTTGCATGTGTATGTTCTTTTCGCTTTTTGTCGACTAATGTGTCTTCTAGTATTTCAATTAACGTTTCTTTAATAAACAATTATATTAAAAACAAACAAAGATGTTTTTTATTTTAAACAGAAATCGGTAAAAACTTTATTGTAAAAATGAAATGTTATTAATGTTAAAAATATATAACTAATAATCAATTTATAATATATTGTTATAAAAAATAAATTAATCAACTAATAATTTTTAAATTAATATGTAATTCCTGTGCATATGTCCTAAACTAGAATCTTTCAACACTCCAAAGCTTACAATACAAAGGAATATTTCCTTTCAACATAACATACCCAAACCAAATTTAATCACACAAGAGATTTTTAAAATTTATTTATTTTACGCCGAACCTAACGACACGGCGGCCGTTTCCGAACGTTAAAAAATTATAGAAACGGCGGCCGTTTCCGAACGTTAAAAAATTATAGAAACGGCGGCCGTTTTCAAATGTTAAAAAATTATAGAAACGGCGGCCAATTTTAAATGTTAAAAAGTTTTATAGACACGGCGGCCTTACGCAAAAAGTTGTGGTCACGGCGGCCGTTTTTCAATTAAGTTCGCTCACCTTACGTGGAGGTACATGGTATGCTCCAAAAATCATCTAATTAAATTGCATTTTTTAATCATAAATAAATGAATGTTTTCTATAAATATTCGCTTCTAGTGAATCTAATTGATTTTGAATGTTTTTTTATGTGTTATAATTACAGGTTGCTTTTTTTACAGATTACATATTTATTATATTATATCTGTACTGCTTATTTGTTTTAATTATAATTTCTAAATTTTTTTCATAGCACATTTAAGAAAATACATAAATTGTTAGAAATGTCACTTATCCGATTAATTTTAAATACAACTTTGAATTGCCGGATGAGTTTTTAAACTTTCAAAACGTTTCAGGCGAATTGTATTTATTTAACATTGAAAGGAATTACGATGACAAAATACAAATATATACACTAATCTACAATATAGTTTATATCCAATAATATACAGTCATACATAAAATGTTTTATTATATTGTTCAGCTATTATTTCCTGCATGCTTTACAAAACCATTCTTTTTTACTTGGAGGCCTTTTGATGCCTGCACAAGAAAAGTGGAACCACTTGAGACAGGAATCACAGGAAACACTTCGAACATCCCTAAGATCATTGCTACAGGTTCCACACATCCATTCTTCATTGGAACATTTATTTATCATTTCTTTCAAAACATTTAGATCTAAAAAATCTTTCAATAAATATAGACATTCTTGTACTTGTCCATCTAAGAACTGACTTGGTACTGATTGAATATTGCTAATATTATAATCTTGTCCATTACCAAATAACCATTGTAAACATCAGTTTTTGCTTTTCTCTTGTTGGCTTCGAAGCAAAAGATATAGATTTGCAATGTTTTGAAGGCATGCCTAAACAGGTTAGTGTTGCTCCTTTTGGTCGACCTCTTGATTTAAAAGCTTGGGGAAAAAGAAGCTCTGAACATGGCAATGGTGATGATTCTGTTGCTCCTGGTATTTTTTGAAAAATTGATAAGACCTTATCAACTTGGTTTTGCGATTTGTTTTTTTCTCTCATTGACGTTTTTATGTTTTGGACATCAGCACTTGTCACAACTTTTCCAGATACCTGCGAAAGATACTCTTTCACCTTAGTGGGATTGGCTCCCATACCGATCATCAACTCAGCTTGTTGTTTCTCTTCCTCGCATAATTTTCTTTGCTGTGATGTGTGTTGAAAAGTCTCTGGAACTATTACATGATTATGATCATTTATGATTGATCTTACAACTAATTTATCACCATTTTTATTTGCTCCAAGAACTATTTTTGCTGGAAAATCACGTTTGATGGTACTGAAAAATAAATTATAACATTTACCATTACTTATATGAAAAAAAAAATTCAAAAATGAAAATACTTTTGATTAGGCCTTTTACCCGATCCTTTGCTTTTATAAGAGTCATAGTGTTGACAACCCAGCTTAATTTAGGAATACATCAGATCATCACTGAAGTATAAATAAAATATATATGATATAATTATAACAATAATATGATCTAATAATAATCTTTCACAAAACATGAGAGGTTAGATACTATAAATAAGCAATGAGTGCAGTGTGGTCATAATCTTTTTTAGTTCCTTATCCTGTAATTATTTACCAACAATTTGTCATTACTTGGTTTCAACAAACTAAATTACTAAGCAAAACCTTTGTGCCAAAAACTACAACTCAGCACTACACAAAAAGCATTAGATTTTTTACAATTATAAGCACACACGTGGCATATGGCAGTTTTACTCAAACTGATTTTTATTGTGTAATAGACAATAAAATTAGTGCTAATTTAGTGACAAAGATATGTAGTGATAAAAAAGTGTGCTAATTACAAAATCAACCAGTTACGAATTATGACAATTTTTAACAAAATTATTAAAATAATTATCATAAATTGCTCACCTGAATGTTTTATTGGGTTGCTTCTTTCGTGCTCTTTCCACCGTTGTTGAATCAGCAACAGTATAATTAACAAATGATTCTTTTTCATATTCAGATAATTTTTTCTTAAAATCTATAAAACTAACAAATTCTTTTCCTTCAACAAGCGACATAATAAACAAAGTAACAAGAAAATTTGCGTCAAAATTACTAAATTACTAAAACATTTTAAATCTCTACACGGAGCACGAGGAGCAACAATGGAGAACGAAATTTATAACCAAAGATACTCTATATATTGCGTCACAAAATTACGTAGTAAAAGTTGGTTACGAAGCGTATGTTTAAAAAACTTATGTTAAAAAAATAAATTTGTCACTATATCTAAAGAAAATATAAATATGAAATAAATATATTTTGATTTTTTTTGCCATTTTTCAAATTTTTAGCGGGCTAAAAATTTATATAACCGGTCGCCGTGTCTATAATATTTTTACGTTCAGAAACGGCAGCCGGGTCTATAGTTACTGTGTTATTTTATCCTGGTTATGACATAGTCCTGGTTATGACTGACCCTCACTGCCTTGTGAGTGATGTTGGATCATCAAAGGCTAGGCCCACCGCTAATAACTGTGTTTGCGTAAGGAAGGGCGTCCTGCGTAAAAATTAGCCATATAAATAAATTACTTATGATGACAGAAGTGACAATGGCCCTCAGTATCCGGCAGAAGAGGGTGAATGGCGTCGAGGGGTATTTCGGTTTCATCATAGCCAAACGGCAACCCCGATCTCGGGGAAAATGTCGTCTAGACGTGTGTTGTTGTTGTTGTTTTATTAATTTAAAATGAACAACTGTTGATTTTTAATAGAATAGGTATGTAATGTTTAATAATTTTTAATCAACATTACTATTTATAAAATAACCCTGAAGGTGCTAGATCATGAGCATGTATAATTGTATATTATTATATTTATGTGTAAATTGTTATATTTCTTGCTTGTTGATTATAAAACGTCTATCTTGCTATAATTAGTAATTATTCGTGATGAGTCAAGTTAGATCGGTCCTACCTTTTTTATTTCTGGATTTTGGTTTTATTTATTTTTTATATAACTGCAAAATGTTTGATTTACATAATTATGAATTTATCTATCAACTACCTTAAAAAGTGAAATATATATACATATATATAAAAGATAAAAACTAAGGTTGTAGAATTTACTTCTGATGTAGTCTATTAGAAGCACCGCACAAATTCAATAAAACAATTGATTTAATAAATTTAAATTGTATAATTTTTGTTGCATTTTATTATTTAATTTACTTTTATTAAAACTGCATGTTGAAAACTCTTTAGCTAAGTTAAAACGTCTTAATGTTGTATATGATGTTTTTATTTTTTTTTTATTAATTCATAATAGTGGTTTGCATTCTGTACATCATTGAAATGATTTTCCATGTTAAATAAATCTTTGTTGACACATTGTAGGAGTATGTTGCTTTCAATTAAAAGTTTTTTCTTAAAACAATAATTATTTATTTTTAATAATCTTTCTGATTCTTGGCAGATCTGAAAATCATTAAAATTTATTGCTTTTACCAAAAAATAAATAAATGTATCATTTTACTTTTAATACTTCTTTTGAGGCATATGTCAATTGTCCATTGTCTTTTAGTATGATGAGATGATTTGATGATTCGCTAAATATGTTTCTGCTGGATGAAATCAAGCATTTTCTGCATATTTGTTGGGATTTGTAACAGCATATTAATGCAAAATTTTAAATGAATTTTGGAGATGTTTACATTAGAAGAAAAAAGAACCTGCATTCTGCACATGAGATGGTCGGTGTTATTGACTTCACCACCCATCCTGCCATGTATGCAGTGCAATTACTGACAATATACTGCAGTGACGCATGCTCCACAAATACGTTGTCATCAAAATCTATCCCAAAAAAAATGTTACTAAGCAGTTCTTCTGTTTCAAATGATGACACATTTTCTTTGTTACCTGTGAATTGCAGAGTAGCTTTAAATCTATTCAGTTTATAATTTTCATATAAAAATTACTTAGTATAACTGTTAAAAATTTGCAGCAAATCTTTTTGTAAACGTCGCTGAATTGTTGGCAATTTATGCGGCTGCAGCATCCACCTGCATACAATTAATTTTTTATGTTATTTCATTATTATGACTTAAGTCAGAAAGCTTAATACCTGATCTTCTTACATAGTTGAAATAAAGTTCCATTGCATCCTGATTGAAACGGTAAGTCATGGCAAAAGGTTGTTCATTCAACAATTCTTTCGAAATATCAATTATTGAATTTATGGTTGTACAAAAGACTATTATGCAAATTTTTCTGAAATTGTTTGTAATTAGTTTTAGTTTAGATATTAAAATATATATATAAAAAAAAGAACCTTTGAGTTTTGTAAATGTTAACACCATCTAAATTTTTCAAACTTAGTAAGTAGGCTTTCATTTCATAAAGTTTATCTATAGTGGCTGTAATGAAATTTGGATTTGATGACCTTGAAAGCTTCTAATTGTTGTTCATTAAAAATTATTGTTTTTGAATTTGGATGAGCTATTATTAATTCCGTTAAAGGGAATACAGTATCTGAAAAATGTGGGATGAGTTTACGATAGAATCCAATCATTCCTAAAAATCTATATAATGATTTGGTGTCATTCGGGATTGTAAATTCTTCAATTGCATCTAGTTTTTTTTTGTAGGGAATAAGCCTTCACTGCTGATGTTAATTTTCAAATAATTGAGATTGTCTTTAAAAAATGGGCATTTGTCGATTGTGAGTAGGGGAGACGGGGGCCGAATGGACCGCTTTTTTTTGTCGCTCACTAAATATTTTTTCTTTGCTCAACAAAATCAGCTATCGCTATTTTAATAACTGATCTTGATTTGTCATTATCTTGCACAGTTGACGGTATTTTTTTAATATTTCCAAATAACGTAATTTTTTTATAATTTAATTTTTAAGGTGGGTTGTTCCAATTTTTTTGGTGGTCCATTCGGTACAATAGCGGTGTACTGGATGGACCGGGTAAAGTACCAAATGGACCATTAAAGAATAGCAACAAATTCATGGAAATAAACACATTTGAAGTATTTTTAATTGAAACAAAAATTGAAATAATAAGATTATTCATGTATGCAAAATTCGCAAATGTAATCAACTGCACTAGAAACACTCGTGCAGAGCTCGTGAGCCCACTTGGCACAATTTCTGCAACGAAACCACATTTCGTTGTCTCGGCCAGCCTCACCACACATGACGCATATGTCCTTCTCAGCATATAATTGTCTTTTAATTTTATTTTTTTTTGTTACTCTGTTGCTCTCTTCGGATATTTGATTTTTTTTATTTTGTTGCAATTTCCTTTTGTTCATGATGGGACGTTTTTTTATCTCTTCACGAGTTTGCTGCACGCGAAGCTCTTCTTTAACTGGGGTGTCGGTTAACACTCTGGAAGTTAATTTCTTACGTTTAGTTTTACGTACCTGACGAGCTGGAGCTTTTGGATACGGACGAACTGATTCAGGGGTAATAGCCACCATACTACTGAGGTTTTCATCACAGGAAGTTTGAAGCCTGAATGGCA